AATACCAAATAGCATACTATATAGCTTGTTGAAATAATATTGTTGGGTTTACTGATTACTACAAAAAGACACATTGTAAATATATTTAGATAGGCAATATTGTGAAACTAATTTTATATAGCTGAAAATTCTTCTATATATAGTTGTAACATTTAAACATACATAAGGACATATTGTAAATAATAGAAAGGACAATTGTAAAATTAATTTAGGGTGGTACACTTGTATGGGTGGTATTACTGATTACTGATTATTATTACTGAGTAGTTATTAGTTTTATCTTCCTCTTGAAGATGATCACTTGGTCATCGAGGTGTAAAAATAACGATTTGGTGTTGGGAAAAAACTCCAGTAATATTCATTACTACACCAAAGGTTCCAAACAGTATATCACAAGTAATCTCCACTAGTTTTTTAATTAGACATTTCATTAAAGTGATCATGAATTTTCATAAAATAAACAAGTCATCAAGTATACAGACGAAATGTATTTAATTTCAAAAATTTTTGGAGAAATGATTTTCCCAGTCGAACCTTTCCTTTATTTCAGTCATCAATTATTCTGTGACAAAAGATGTTGCATGTATCAATAGGTTTTTTCGCAAGATCAGCGCTTTGCTGTGTTCCGAGTTTGAAAACATTTTCAACGTATACCTAGTTTCTGCTTTTCTGTGTGAATTGATTGAAATTAACATCAATTAACATTCAAAACTGTACTTCAAAAACAACTGCGCAAGGGATAGTGGCATACGTTATTTTGTGAAAGTTTCAAGTCTTCATGAAATCAAGTGGTCATCTGATGTTCATGAAAGTTCTACAGGTATGAGTCGCTACACTAGTGTATAAGTATCGTAATGTTTCCTTGACAGGGTCAGAGAAATCAACTTCGAAACTAAATGTTCCCGGTTCAAAGTTCCCTTGTCTAAAGTCATGTTGACAGATATGAAATCTATAGAAAATAATTATGGTGAATGCATATTGAAGTTGATAATAATGATAGTAGTGTTTATTCACCATATAGATCACATATGATTCGGTAAATAAACGTAGGCATCACAGAAATGTTCCTTATGCGTGACATTGCCAAATTACAAACTATAACTAAACTAAAAAAAATATGTGTGTAAGAGTATTCTATACAATGAATTAGATATAAACTGTTAACTATAATGAATTGAATACAATACAATGAATATACATAGACTGATGAAAATAAATTAGCATATTGAATTGAAAAACTATATTTGTAATGTGAGACACAAAAGGACACGATGGGATTGAAATTAAGTATTTTTTATAAGTTCATTCTACAGTGGGTTTCATTTTCTAGAAAGTGTGCTGATTAATAATTTGATGAAACACAAAGTTCGATCAGAATTTCTGAGCCAATTTTTCAGTTCTTTCTTGAATTTGGATTTTTTTTGTTTATCAATG